TTTTTAATCCTCCTTGTCTAGTTTTAGTCAATGCATTCCAATTTTTATACGTGAACTGAACAATATTACTCGCACTGTTATCAGTTGTACGTACCAATTGGAGAAAGCATGGGATATTAGGTAATTGTGTTTTAAGGTAAACCCCTTCATATTTTGGGGTGTTAAATATTATAACTCCAGGATTCAAATTATTTGCTTCGGTTTTGCATGAAGTCTTCCACGTTAAATTTCCATTTTTGCATATTTCAAATATAATCACTTTGATATTATGCACATCATTGCTTAAAATTGTTATTTCATCATTCCCCTCCATATCTGAATAACTATTACATAGTTTTATAATCTGTAGTTCTTGATTTATTAGAAGTTCAGTAGTGTTATTCTCTGTTGTAAATGTCATAACTCGATTCCTAAAATTGATAACTTAGTTTTTCTATTCTGGAAATAAAATATAAAATAATGAATAATTGTTTTAACTATATTTAAGCTTATTGTGTAAAAGTCTCAAGTCACTATGTTCGTACTCGGTAATCTCTAAAACCACCCAACCGATTGAAATAAAATTTGATAAATATATAGGATTATGATATTTTATAAGTCTAAATTTATTGACAAATACAACAAATATATCCCAAATGACTGAATATTGAAATGATCTATTAGTGAATTATAATGATGTCCGTTTTTTAACAAAATAAAAGTGTTACTGAAACCAATTGATTATAAATAAAAACTAATTATATTAACTACATTCACAGCCACAGCCATAAACTTTATAATTTATTCTCTAAATATTAAGCAGTTGGTGAAAGTAATTGGTTTACTGTTATTGTCTCCAGAAAACAAATATTAGATGATTAAATGTAGGAACTTCCGTTTAACAAATCTAGCAGTTTATTACCTTCACTAAAACTAAAAAACGAATACGTAATAGCATTTCCTTTGCAATCGGACATTACCTAATAGTTAGGCTTATACTGAGATTATTAGTTTCAACTAATGATTTTTGCAGAAGGAGTTATTGAGCTCTACATTATTGTGCAGACTTTACATTACATTATTGTCAAGCTTTAACAAAGAGCCAGAGTACAGCTCTTGGATAATTTTTGTTTTGTTTATCTCTCAGAGACACGGTTGCCACTTGAAAATTTTTTTCTGTACCAAAATTGGTTTAAAAAGGTACCATTTCTGTAAAAAAAGGTCCAAAATTTTTTTGGACCTTTTTGTTTTCTCGTTCTGTGTTTTTTATAGTGTTATAAATGAACAAAATATAAAATAGTGCAAAGTTGCATTCATAAAAAAAATTAATTGGAAATATCCACAATAAAATTGGGTTGTCAAAAATGTACCAGTTTTTGAAAATCAGTACCAAACGAAAAAAAAAAAAAAAAAAGTACCAATTTTGGTACTAAAGTACCATAAGTGGCAACCGTGCTCAGAGATTAAAAACTGTTATTAAAGCCCAATAAAACTAAAGTGAGTAAATTTTGAAAAATGAAAGCATGATAGAAAATCTCAGTATATATTTAAATTATTAGGATGGGCACATCAAATATCAAGACTTTTAAAGAAATGGTCAGTCCCATAGGACAGTCTGTATGGAATCTGTCAAAGACTTGCTTTATAAACACAACTTAACTGTTGTGGAGAACAATACAGCACGGAGTTATTAATTATATGTAATGAAGATTTGAAATGAAATATTAAATTCCAATTACTATTTTAAAAGCAATATGTTTTTTATTTTACTATTACTTGATCGATAGTTTCTATTGGTTTCAATAAAATAATAATAATTACTTTAAAAATTAATGTCTAAATAAGCGTACAAAATCGAAAAACAGTAACTTATAATACGAGTAGTTAAGTGGATTTATATAGCTGTAGTTTGTGCGTTTGACCTATATGTAATTATAATATAGAAGTAAAAGTGTTATTTAAATGAGAACAACAAACTTAATGTGACGTGGGTTTTATGTGTAAACGAGAACGTACAGGCTATAGTTCTACAGATCTGTAGTCTAGAAAATTAAATGTAGATAATATAATCAATTGATGTTTTCAAAGATCACTGTTCATGGATATTTGGCGGTATTTGCGATGTGCAATATTTAAAAATAAATTTATTTAGTTATAAGTATTGATATATTTAATATTTTATGTTTATATTAAATTTTTTTAAAAAAATATTTAACTTTACATTTTTAAAATTATTAATTTCAATTCTTACTTGTTCCTGACAGATATGTGTAAAATATTTATAATGTAAAATTCACTTTAAATTCATTAAAAATATTTCACTATTTCGCGATGATATTAAGGATTAAATATATTTTTATTAATTTATTGTAAAATAATTATTTTAACTAACACTGGTAATCTTTAAGTATTTTTTCTGTTAATATAATTCTTCCGTTGATTGTTCACTTTGTGTTTATAGTTATAGTTTTGAAATTTCAAGCCAAAATGATTTATTTGTTAATAAATTTTTATTTTTAATTTTAAAAAAGTTTATATTTATATTTCTCTTATAATTCTCTCTACATCAGCACAGCTTTTAAGCTCTTTTTTCCAGCTCTTTTTAAGACGGAAATAATAACTTCCAGGAATTCCGCAGTTTTAAATTGTTTTTATTTATTTATAGATAAAATTATAATCACTTGTGTATTAAAATGAAATTCACTTTTGTTAAAAAATAATAAAATACGGGTATATGTTAAAAATCATTCATTACTACATTAGTCAACTCTTTATCAATTCACGCAATCAACAATTTTCATTTATATGTAAATGTTTACGTATATGTAGATGTGTATATAAAAACCTATGTATATGTACTCACTAACCAATAATGTATTTAATCGGTATATTCAGAAAATGGGAGATCACCTAATATTTATATGTATTTTCAATTCTTAGTAACGGTTGGCCGAATCGGTATCAGGCGAAATTGCTATTGAAAATTCATGATTTTCTACGCATGGAGAGATTACATTGAATTGACTTAAATGTTATTGCATATTTATTGTATAACAATAGATAAATATTATTTAATATTTTTTATATAATATAAAAAAGTTTAGTCTAATAAACAACTAAAATCAGATTATACGGACATCGTATAAGTATTTTTTGAGTTACTGAGATTTATATAACTGAAGGTTTCTTACGGATGGAGTATTAACTATGGAGTACATTTCCTCTTACACAATATAATTTTTCTTGTTCTTTACACCTAAGAAGATTGCAGACAGAGAACTAACAATATTATCTTTACCCTACCTGTACTTTTGATCAAGAAAATTTGATTTTTGATAAAGTGTTAAGAACATAGAGATCACTTCTTCAAACACAATTTTTTTGTTTTTCGTCATAGTGTAAGAGAAAATATTAGTATATTATTTAAGACTGCACTTAACCCCTCTCCAATTGAAAGTTGCCAGAGTTCGCATCTTCATATATTGTATAAATGGACTAAATAACACTGTCCTACTAAGCGAAATATACTGCTAATCTTATTATTAGTAGGAGTAGTTAATAATGTTATTCTATAAGTAATCTACATTTTTTAATTCATATTCGACTGTTTTAATCTGTCATATCAACAATAGATCTATTATGACCAAAGAGTATCCTTTTAAATGTATGACATTTGGCAGAAAACAATAATTTGTATTATTTTCCAGTATATACATAGTTCTAATTGCATTTTTTTAAACTAATTTATTAGATGATAAAAAAATTTGGGTGGTGAATTGATAACTGATTATTACATAGGGTTATCCTGTAATACTATTTTATTGAGTATACCCAAACAAGCAAATATTACACATGTATTTGTCAGGTATCGCCATGTTTTTTATTCTATTCGGAAGTACCGTGTATTAATAATATATAACCACTATCACTACGATGTTTTTTTTCGTCAATTTAGGAATTAGCTCCAGAATTTGGGACATTTGCCAAAAAAATTTCCAATTTATTATTTGATATTTAGGTTTAATTGCATTCTTTTGTTCTTTTGTATTTATAAGGTTAACTTTTTTTAAAGTAAGTATTAATGTTGCTGAAAAGCTACGCTTTCTTTATATGGTGACAAAGTCATTAACATTTTTTTAAATTTCACCACCTATGTATTTCATTTCATTAACTTTATTAGTAAGATATAAACTGACATATTGATGGACTAACAGTTAAATAGAAATACTTGCAGAAAGATAGACAGAGATGTTAAGGAAAGGTGGACTAAACTTTATATCAAGAGATAAAAAGTGAAAGGCTGAAGGGCTTGTATGATGTCAGAAGCTTACTTAGCATGTTAAATATATTGATAAGCCTAATATATACTTTATTAAACATCATATCTTAAGTATAAAACAAAAACGGAGTTAATAATCGTCATAAAACAACAATTATTCATGATAAATTAAGGCAGGAATATTTGATTGAAGATATAAACTATGATAAAAACTGTTATTTTTTTGAAACCTCTCAATTGTTTCTAGATATGGTTGCGAAAGAATGAAAGCATGACGGCAGACAGGCATACTAAAATCTCGCTCTTATATCTTAGATCTACAGTTATTAATGAGAATCCATGACAATTCATACATGTACCACAAACAGTGCAATTCTGGCCAAAATCGTTAAAAGTCTTTTGAAGGAGATATAATATAGAAGAAAGTGATGGTGAGAAGTGACACTAAGATCAAAAAATCAATAATACTAGAGTAAGATTTTTCTGTATAAATAATAATTGCTGACTTCATAAAAATATAACACATCATCAGTGAAGTTTTGGAAACTAATGTTTAGATTAATACCCCCAATAATACTGCGATTCCTTAAATAGTCGTAACAACTACAAATAAGCGCAATTTTTGGGATTAAATACTTTATTTTAACAATATAATAATAAATATACATTTTTTACAAATCTTCTCCTACTTTAATTTATACTTTAAATTACATTATGTTTAGGTAGACAATATCGAAACAGGTTCTTGCAAGATTTCCTGAATTTTGGCTTCTGGAACAACTTCACCATTAACAATAAGTGTATGAACAATGCCATCATGTTTGTTGCCACTTGAACGTGCTTGTAAAACAATCTCGTTATCATTTTCATAGAATCTTGTATCTGTGCCGCCATCGACAAATTCACTCTAATATTATCAAAGAAAAACACAAATTCAATTACTAATTAAATAAGTTTATAGCTATATAGGTATTATACATTTACCGTTTCCTCTCGAACGTTATCATTTAAATACAAGTTTAAGGAATCTATATCAAGCATTATACGATACTCAACGTCGTTAAGTGTCACGAGCCACAGACGATACTGTTTTGTTTGTTCCTCTGTATATTGTTCATGTGGCTTACCATCAATAAATAATAGGTATTCATATTTAAAACCTGGTGCTGGATTGACTCTAATAATGCATCGCGATTCTTCGATATAAAAAGTATCCTCACCTACTAATTTAAACATCCAATCACGTCGTAAAACTTCCTATACATTATTATATATAAATATTAATAGAATATGATTACTTATTTACAATTAGTGTATATATTTCTTTACCTTTCCGTTAACCCATATCATACGTCTACCGCTTGTGGTGCCATGTTCTAGTTCAATGCGGTACATTTTACCATTCATCGGTGCACACCACTTAGCAACGATATTATTTTTATTGTAACGCTTTTCTTCTGGCAAATAGTCTAGACTCATTATAGGTTTGTCGGAAAGATTTTCCAGTTTCAATGATGGCGACAAAAAGGACATTTTAACATTTATTGATGATGGCTCAGAAAATATCTAAAATTAAAGTAATTTATTAATAAGATAGAAAAAAATAAAAAATTTAAGCATTTAAGTTAATCACAAATCAAATTTTGAAATTTCAAAAGAAAACAACCTGATGAAAAAAATAGAATGAAAAAATAAATATTTGTATATATTAGAGATAAAAGAAATTTTTTTCCCACTAAAGTCTTAATAGCTGATATTTTAAATTGCACGATTATGATAATAAAATTTTCAACATTATCATTTTGCTTAATTATAATTAATGACGTTTATGATAGCGTTAACATTGATTAGATTTGTGTCATACTATGTTTACAATATCTTAGTAAATATACTTTAGACATGCATTAATATGAAATAGTTTTTTATAGGTACTAAGAACCGAAATCTATAGAGATTTAAACTTTAAATGAAGTTATTAATTATTTGCTTATCACATAAGACGTTAATTGACAGCAATGAGTTGGGATGCAATATATGCAATCTCTACAGTTCAAATGTTCTCTTAAGAGCTTTCCGTGTATATCCCACATATATCTACTAAAGGAGTTATGATGACAGAGTATGTATGTGGCACTACCTGGCTTTTAAAGGTAATGGAATTGCAGCTCTGAATTATAAAACTTTTGAGTCCTTAATAATTTACATTTCAATAAGATCTGGTAAAATGATTGCAGAATTAAGAATATTAAATTAAACTTAAATGAACTTAAAATTACAATAAATATACAAATATATAAACAATATACAAATATATATAATATAATATATAATATATATTGTATAGTATTTAATTTACTGTTTGTAGAGTCGTAGCCAGTTGAGCTTGAGCGACTTCCGAAATAAATAAATATAAATAATAATAAATAAATTATGGTGTCATATATATACAGAGAAATTTTTCAAAAATAATTATGGTTAATGTTTAAAATTCTTAGTTAACTCTCCCTTTTTGGTGCTGTTAGTTAGCACTTTTATTCGTAATTGTTTCTGTTTTTTGTGATATTGTATTATGTTCGTTGTTGATATTTGCTTTGTCAGTGATTGCTTCTAATCGTCATAACGTCTGCATTTTAGTTTCCGCCTATTTTGTATAATTAATATTCCAGACAATATCTAACACCGATTTGTGGATTTGTATAAGTTAAGGTAGTGTTACAGAATATATATATATATATATACACACGCGAAAACAAATGGGGGTTGCTAGAGAAGTGCTTTAAAAGATTGCACAATAATATTGTTCGACAACGTGGACAAACGCTACGTTTGGGGACCTGCAAGGTTTCACGCGCCCACTATATAGCGTATGACAGATTAAAACAGTCGAATATGAATTAAAAAATGTAGATTACTTATAGAATAACATTATTAATTACTCCTACCAATAATAAGATAAGCAGTATATTTCGCTTAGTAGGACAGTGTTAGTCTATTTATACAATATATGAAGATGCGAACTCGGACCACTTTGAATTGTAGAGTCGTTAAGTGCAGTCTTAAATAATATACTAATATTTTCTCTTACACTATGATTGAAAAAATAATTCTATACGGAAAGGCGTTATGGAAGTTTGTAATCACTACTAATGTGTTTAAGATATCATTATATATACCATATATATATTTAGAATATAAGTGCAAAAAATTATAAAAAAAATAACTATATTAATTATAAACAAATACATATATTGTACAAATGTTCAAAATCTTATGGTATATTTATATATTCGTTAGTGGAGACACACTATTCGATAGGAAAAGTTTTTATTGTTTACTTATTATTGATACTTGACTAAAACTTTTTGGAAGATTTGAGGTAAAATACATATAATAAATATAATTAAAATAATATGATATAAAATACAAATTAATTTTGGTTCTGATAAAAGTTTAAAACTTTTCCGTATAAAATCAATATTGATATTTAAATAGATTAATCCACAACACAATATTGAAATGATATTTGATAAAATTACCATATTTGAAAGATTAAAATTAAGTGTCAAGTGTATTGTGTTCATTACGCTATTTATCCAACTATTTAATAAAAGTGATTAATTATTACCAAACATTCTAATGCAATTAATGATAAAGTAGATGAAGGTTTGAATATGTCCTAATCAACTATAGCAGATTTATAAAATACAAGTAACTAAGTAGTAGAGATGAAAGTTACTATATTCTATTGTATATTATGTATAATATTATATACATAAATCAAATTACTATATTTTACTATGATTAAGCAAAACTACGAGTATAATTAAGATTTAATTGTTCTTGAAACTAACTGAATTTAATTACAAATGTTCATTAACGTACGAAATATTACTAGGCGTTTTTCCAAACCGTTATTTCATTTATTGACAAACTAAAGTTCTTGAAACTAATTTGCATGCTTCATTAGTGTATTTACTTACTAAGAAACTATTGCATTTATAATTTGCAATAAAAGCTTAAAAATCAATAATTTTTGAAATTATAACATATTGTGCATTAGGTTCACTATCTTTCACAAATCTTGATTACTGCATGCAGAAAAAATGCATTGCACCGGTGGTGCAAAGTCAATGCATTAAAATAGGTTTAAACAATAATCAGATTATTTTATTAGATATATAATCAATTCAACGTTATATAGTAAATTATTAATTTAACGATTTAAATATGTTTACAATTAAACTTTTTAAACTAAACTTTTTATTTTAGTTTTGAAATAAGGGAAACAACCGCGCTGTGAGAAACCGCGAAACAGACTGAAACTTGAAATCAAGCAGTGGCCCAAGCAGTGCATAAACGGAAAATTTTAAAGTGATTTCCTTTGGTGCTTGTTGTCTGCTTTTAGGCGCCATAATTTTGCTGCTCCACCATGGACGTCAACGACGAAGCACTAAGCCCTAACCAGTAAGAAAGGTGGAAGGTGACGGGTATACATTTTAGTTTGGTAGCATGGGAATAAAAGCGAACAAGTCGTTTAGTTCAGTAGTGGTTCAATATGGTGGTACGAGGCACATTCACTTCTTTGTTATGATAAATGGGCCGAACTCACACTGGCTTAAGACATGTCTAGTCAAACGATATGGTAAAACAATAATGATGCCAAAAAGCTGCAACCGCGGATACATATATGTATTAATATGTTTTAATGGTAAAGGCAATCTTGGTTAATATTATTAAAGTCAAACTTGAAATTTGGAAATTGAAAAAAAGAAAGCAATTATAGAAATAAAATATACAAATTTTTATTTTTAATCCATTAGATATTAAACTGAAATATTTAATGAATATGGTATCCTGAAACTGGTAGAAACAGTATATATTGCATAGTTTCTCACTGTAATATCTAATAATAGTCATATCACACAATAACCTTTAAGTATCTCTACAATTGTTCTATAATGCTTGTGATCAAACAAAATGTATAACCCTAAATGATTTAAATTATATGTATGTAATCATTGCCATTTATCAAGTGATTAGATACGAGGGCGGTTTGATAAGTCAGTGACTTTTTGAATTTCCCACGCAGTTACTCTAAATGCAACAGTGCTGCAGTTAGCTGTAATCTACCAGTGGGCAACTTTTTAATTTTGAGCAAGCTAGGTCGTTCAGTTGGTGTTTGACAGCCGTTCATAGCAGACAACCTCGTGAATTTTTACGACAAGCGAAAAAAGTGACATCCAGCATATTCTCCAGATTTAGCCCTCTGCGACTATTTTCTGTTTCCAAACCTAAAGAAATGGCGAAATTCACGTTTGTTCTAGTAGTATCAGCAAGTAGTAGTATCGTCATAATAAACCTTATTAAAGTGATATTTCTCTTTTATCTCTTAATTCGATGTTCCTTAGTACTTAATAGACAAAAACTTATGAGTGTTAACATAACTGGGTAGGACATTCATTAAGTTATCCAGCCATGTAGCAATATCTCACACGCAGTATTAGTGTGGAACCTGCAGGGCACCAGGCGATATGGTGAACCGCAGTTATGTTTTAAAGGACTTCAAAATAAAACCAAGAAATATATAAATGAGTAAAGATCAATGGCCCCGGCCATAAATAATTGGGAAACCCATATAGAAATTTAAAATGAGTAAATTATAACATTCACACTAAATTGAGTACCTAATTTCATATGATGTATTATTATTAATTTCTTTTTTTATTAAATATTAATATAAATCATTTTATAATAAACTTTATAATCTAACTGGTGCTTTTATAATCCAACGGGTGTTTTTTGGGGTAGATAGGTATAAGTAGCTGGTCGAAGGGTGACACGCGTTAACACCGTCTGGGGCGCCTAATCACATTAAGTGGCGAGTTACCTGTTAGAATACCAATCTCATTGTTATCATTATTTGGAATTATAACAAGCATGTCAAATTCTGGAATTGCTGTAGCTCTAGGTTAAACCACGATAAGATAAGATGAATTTTTTGTTGCTGTTCTGATAGCAGTAGGAATAGGATGCAAACATAGTTGTCTGGGTAAGGTTTCACTATACACTTGTTCTCAATCATTTTTGTATTATCTTTACAATTATGTAATTCTTTAAATCGCATAATATCTGGAGGCGTAAATCAAGGAATATTGTTAAATTTATATGTAATTACCTTCATTTGTTGAAATTTAGTTAGAGGTATTTTTTTAGGACAATATCTACTGTATATTATATAATTTACTATATAATTTGCTATTATACTCTCTAACAATATTAAAATCATACAAAATATCTCTACCATTGTTGTGCAATCCTTGCGATTAGGTGATAAAAAGAAAATATAGTCACTTTCGGATTATATGGTTCGTATATGATCCTTGCTATTTTGAAGTGGTTGGATATTTTATAGTAGTATCAGCAAGCCTTATCATATTAACACTTTAGACAGTAGGATTTCTCTTTAAGGCTCTCCTTCTTTGTTTTCTAATATTTAATGGATATACATTTTTTCAACACCTCTATAAGCGGATTAAAAATTTTTCATAACGTTAACTGTGCTATAGCTTTGATATTTGACTGGCTGGTCAATAACCTTCAATAGACGGTTATTATTAAGCTCATAGTGTCTCTATAAGGTATTTATTAATTCAATCGTCACTGCAGTAATTTGTAATCAAATAGTTTATATCTATTCCTACATCATTCGATACTGGATACTAGATCTCACTGGATACTAGAAAAGCAATTAACAATATAACTAAAATAAACAGACATTGTACTTATTGGCAATATTAACTCTTATTGGTATGTTTCTTATCACGTATGAGCATAAACAGACCGACACTGTTTTTTGTTTTCATACTTCAGCTTTGATAAATATGTATGCGACATGTGGTATGATGCAAGTATGAACGTTTGTCTATATATTAACTGTTATTTAGAATATATGGAGCAATATGTGACAATTCGCTGTGGGCAAACAAAAAGTGGGTGTAACTGAAATGTGCATATCCATTGGGCTATTCTGTTTTGGAAGGAGTAAATATATTTGTTATAAGCAATTTTTATTTCTGTCTCGTTATTGTGTATTTTATGATGTAATAATAATCATAAAATGAATAGGTTTGCAATAAATATGCTAACTATTTTGAAGTACATACTTCATTTCTATAAAAAACATATAAACGTTTAAAAGAAAATAATATGGTTACTTGATCTCTTAGCACTTTCGGATCACAGTGGTATAACCTGTAATCAAATTTTATGTGTATAATTATGTTTCTAAAATACTTCTTAATTATAGAAATGAACTGTTATTATTAGGTTAAAGGAATATTTTTAATAATTTTATAAAAATATTAAAAAAAAAAAATTTAATCATACTAATTACACACTCAGGAATATAAAGAGTATTTCGTCAAAATAATTACACGTGTTAATTAATTATAGTGTAAATAGGCTCCAGTAAGCAGAGTACACACGCCTTTATGAAAAATAGACCGGTTATTTCAAAACATATTTGTATGGTATATAGTGTATGTATAGTTTCTTTATTTATATGTATCTCTAAGTGTCATAGCGAGCATAACTAAATTTTAGGGCACCATATCTTTTTATGTTACATCACTCCGTTGCCCCCGAAAAAATATTTTTTAGTATAATTATAATAAATATTCATTTGAAATATACTTTTTAGTTATTAATCAAATGAAAGTTTAAATTCTCTGAAAGATTTTGTCCGTTTTTGGAACAATTTTAAACCTTTGTGCGAGTGGAGTACAAGTACGAAAACTGGAACTTTACACTAACTACTAATGTATACTGTGTTTTTTTTAGCTGTATTAGAACTATCGATATCGATAATTATTGTTTAATAGCAGAGAAAGTCAAATTGTGTTTCTGATCTGACAATTCATCAGGAATCGCTTAACGTTAGAATAATCCTTCCTGTATTTTGGAAAAAATAAATCTATTCGAAAATTTCATAGGTCAACATAATCGGAATAGTGGGCAAGCAATTCGTGCAGTTATTGATTGTTTTTGCACTTTACTTTCATTGGGTTATGTCGACAATCAAGTAACTCTTGAAGCATTGAAAGTCTATGGTCATGACACCATGCCATACGGTATAAGGCACATTTATTGTAAAAAATAAACAAAAATTGGACTGATCGAATGGACCATATAACCGGTATTCGTGGCGGACATATGCTGGAAATCATATTAAAAAATTAATGAAATGATATTATCTACCAGATTATAATAAAAAAATTTCAATCTAACAATATTTCTGTCTTGTTTTATCATTTTAAGTTCTCATGCAGTCAAAAAAACACCCTGTACATTATATTCCCAATTAAAATTCTACACTCTAAATAAAATATTTTTTATAACTTATTGATTAAAAAAGTATATGAGCGG